CTCGACGATAAGTTTGTCCGTGTTGACGGCCACGATGTCTACAAGACTCCAAGCGCCAATCTAGCAGTGGCCGCTAATGAGCTCGCCTGGCTCCTGCAGACACCAGAGGTCGCCAAGGTCACCGCCATGCTGAAAGCGGTGCACTGCCAGGTCAATGAGATCCGCCAGGATTAGAGGCCTTCGTACTCCATAAGCTCGATTCGCCGATCAGCCGCGACAAGATCCGATCACCGCTGAAGTCATTTCGCCAACCAACACCGCGACGACAGGCAACTCCTCCAGGGCAGAGCAAGGGACAACCGCATTGAACATCACCACCAGCACGACCAGGAGGTCGACCAAGACGTCCGAGTGCACCTCAACAACCTTCGGGATGCACGACGATGTATCGACGAATGCCGCTTTGGTCGCCATGAAGAAGAAGTACGCCGCCGCTAGGAGTACGAGCAAGAGTATGGTAACCCGGACTCAGCTCTTGAGCCGCTCGCCACCGGCAACGCTGCAGACAATAGTGCCGACAACCCCGAAGGGCCCCCAGCATTCACGAGGGCACTTCGAACACTTTAGTGGCCCTGTGGTTTTAAAATTACTAGGGTCAAGCCCTACGAGAGAAGGATGAACCCGACATAGTGGCTATAGGCTTACGCCACTGCTGTCATCGCCACCGAAGGAGACACCAGTGTCATGGCAAACTATCTTCCCATCATGCTCACACCAGCTGCCATGAGCTAGTTTGCAAGCCTTGCCTCAGACTCCATCGGATCCTTGGAAGAGCTAAAAAAGTCTTCACCGACAATTATATGGCTACGTGTACTCGGCCGGGCACCAAGCACGATCTCAACCGCATCAACTAGAAGCTGTCCGAGCTCCTTCGTATCTACATTAGACGCTTTTCCAAGATGAGGAATTCTATTCCCAACATCATGGAAGCTGAGGTCATCACTGCCTTCATCCGAGGACTCCATTAGCGCGAGCTTCGCTAGAAGTTCAACCACAAGTCACCCACAGGGATTAGCGAGATGATCACGACCACCAACCAGTACGCCGATGCCGAGGAAGCCGAGGTGCACTTCAATGAGGATGTGGGCACTCATCGCCCACCTTGCTGCTATGACGACCACCCCGACGACCGATGCCACAACGACCGCCGCTACGACGACTGCAGTTACCATCGGGATAGCGGTCGTGATCGGCCAGAAGGATCCGAGTCTGGTCAAAATCGACGCCACTGGCTAGACCACATCGTTGCCGCCATTAATGAACCTTGCGCCAAGCGCAACTATGATGAGCAGTACAAGAAGATCCTCGACGGCCTATGTCCCCTCCACAAGAACGCCAGACATAAAATGAAGGGCTGCCTTGGTTTGGCTAATGAGTTCCAAGACAAAAAGCTGGACGACGACGCCAACGACGGAGCCAAAGGCCACCGACCACCTAGGGGCAATAACAATGCCTTCTAGGATCACGACAAGGTGGTCGCCACCATCTTCGGGGGCATCGCCTCCACCGAAAGCAGAAGAGAACGGAAGCTCGCTGCCCGGCGGGTGCTCGCCACCACTACGGAAGACGCTGCCACTAACCCCAGCTATTGCCCTTGGTCTGAGGTTCCCATCACCTTCAGCAGGGCCGACCAGTGGGCGGACATCCCTTACATAGGGCGTTTCCCCCTCGTCCTCGATGCAACCATCCAGAAAGTGCTTTTCAGAAAAGTGCTCGTCGACGGTGGGAGCGCTCTGAACCTCCTCTTCGTCAGAGCCCTAAAGGAGTTAGGCCTCGGGATAACAGATCTCACACTCTCAGACTCCTCCTTCTAGGGTGTGGTACCTGGCAGGGCATCCAAACCGCTTGGAGAGATCACCCTACCAGTACAGTTCAGCATGGCAAGCAACTACCGTGTCGAGCACATCAACTTCTACGTCGTCGACTTCAACACCGCCTACCATGCCATACTTGGTTGGCCAGCTCTGGCCAAGTTCATGGCTGTACCACACTATGCTTATCTGGTGCTGAAGATGCCTTTGCCTGTAGGAGTCCTGGCCTTGCGGGCCAACCTCTCTATCGCCTACGCCTGTGAGATAGAGGGCCTCGCTCTCGCCGAAGCCACCGACCTCTCCATCTAGATGGCCAGCGTGGTCACTGACGCTAAGACAGTGCCCACCGATGACCTAGAGATCCCATCGCTAGAGCCTCCTCATGCCTCTGCCAAGTCCAAGGAAACCAAGGAGGTCGGCCTCGGCCTCGATGACCCCTCTAAGACCGTGAAGATTGGGGCTCACCTCGACCCCAAATAGGAAAGCACGCTCATCTGCTTCCTACGTGCCAACGCCGACGTATTTGCTTGGAAACCTACAGACATGCCAGGGGTACCACGAGAGAAGATTGAGCACTCCTTGAATGTCTCATCGACCGCCAAACCGATCAAGCAGAAACTCCGCCGATTCGCGCCAGACAAGAAGGAGGCTATTAGGGTAGAAATAAAACGGCTCCTAGCAGCCAGATTCATAAAAGAAGTGTATCATCCTGAGTGGTTAGCAAACCCTGTTCTTGTTCAAAAAAAGAATAAAGAATGGAGAATGTGTGTTGATTACATTGATCTTAACAAACACTTCCCTAAAGACCCCTTCGGTCTGCCTCGGATAGATGAGGTTGTAGACTCCACTGCCGGCTGTGAACTGCTCTCCTTCCTCGACTGTTACTCTGGCTATCACCAGATCTCCCTCAAGGAAGAAGACCAGATCAAGAAATAGTTCATCACGCCCTTCGGTGCGTACTGCTACACCACCATGTCCTTTGGACTCAAGAACGTCGAGGCAACCTATCAAAGGGCCATCCAGATGTGCCTCGATCAATAGATCGTCCGCAACATCAAAGCTTACATTGATGATGTGGTCATCAAGTCTAGGACCACCAACAATCTTATTGCCGACCTCGAGGAAACATTCGCCAACCTGAAAAGGTACCGATGGAAGCTGAACCCTTCAAAGTGCATCTTTGGAGTTCCATCCGGTATACTCCTGGGCTACATCGTCAGCGCACGTGGCATCGAGCCCAACCCCGACAAGGTCTCTGCCATCACCAACATGAAATGGCCAACATGTGTCAAGGATATACAGAAGCTTACAAGCTACATGGCTGCTTTAAGCCGCTTCATGTCGCGCCTCGGCAAAAAAGGGCTACCATTCTTCAAACTCCTCAAGGCCTCCGAGCGCTTTTCCTGGTCAGAGGAGGCAGACACAACTTTTGAGCAGCTCAAGTTGTTCCTAACAAAGCCTCCGATCATGACGGTGCCATGGCTAGACAAAACTCTCCCGATCTACATCGCCGCTACTTCTCGCGTCGTTAGCACAGCCATTGTGGTCGAACGCGAGGAGGCTGGGCACGCCTATAAGGTGCAACGTCCAGTATACTTCATCAGCAAGGTTCTTAATGAACCCAAGACTCGTTATCCTCAGGTCCAAAAGCTGCTATACGCCATCCTGATTATGTCGCGCAAGCTCCACCACTACTTCGAGTATTACAAGATCGCCGTGGTCATCGAGTTCCCTTTGGGGGACATTCTCCGCAACAAAGAGGCCCACAGCCACATCATCAAGTGGGCGGTTGAGCTCGGCACTTACTCCATCGAATTCAGAAGTAGGCCTACCATCAAGTCATAGGCACTCGCTGATTTTGTCGCTGAGTGGACCGAGATCCAAGAGCCCATCGTCGCCACTTGCCCTGAGCACTAGGTGATGTACTTTGATGGTGCCCTCAACATCAACGGTGCTGGTGTGGGCATTCTGTTCATTACATTGACCAAGGATAAGCTCCGATACGTTCTCCGGATACACTTTCTGGCCTCCAACAACACCACCGAATATGAAGCATGTCTCCATGGACTCCGTATAGCCATCGAGCTCGGCGTCAAACACCTCATGGTATACGGGGACTCTGCGCTGGTCATCAACCAGCTCGACAAAGCCTGGTCCTGCTCTAGTGAAAAGATGGATGCATATTGCGCCGAAATCAGGAAGCTTGAAGGGAAGTTCTACGGTATCGAGTACCATCACATGGTACGCCATCAAAATCAGCTTGCCGACCACCTATGCAAGTTAGGCTCCTCTCGTGCCATGATTCTACCGGGGGTCTTCGTTCAAGATCTTCTGGCGCCATCTATTAAGGAAGAGAAAGAAGTTCAGGAAATTCCCCCCGTCGAGCAACTGGTACTTATGGTACCTTCGCCGGCCGCTGATTGGAGGGAACAATTCATCAAGTACCTCACCAGCGCCGAAGTACCCACCGACAAGACTGAAACTGAAAGCCTAATTCATCGAAGCAAGCATTACATGCTGGTGGACGACAACTTGATGAGAAAAAGTTCCAAGGAAGGGATACTGCAAAAATACATCACCCAAGGAGTGAAGCTACTTCTCAAAATTCACTTTGGTTCCTGCGGCAACCACGTGGCCTCGAGAACCTTGGTCGGCAAAGCTTTTTGAGCTGGTTTTTACTATCCCACGACCATCTCTGATGCAGAAGACCTCGTCCGATGTTGTGAAGGATGCCAATTTTTCATCAAGCAAATACACATTCCGGCACAAGAGCTGCAGACCATCCCAGCTTCCTGGCCCTTTGCATGCTAGGGACTAGATATGATTGGGCCTTTCAAGCCAGCGCCAGGTGGTTTTCGGTACATATACGTCGCCATCGACAAGTTCTCCAAGTGGATCGAGTATAATCCGCTCGTCTCGGCTATTGCAAAGAAAGCAGTCGAGCTCTTCGAAGACATCATCCACAGATTCGGTCTCCCGAACTGCATTATCACCGACCTCAGAACTACGTTTACTGGCCATCACTTTTGGGACTTCTGCGAAGACCGATGCATCTTCATCAAATACGTCTCTGTTGCCCATGCTAGAGCCAACGACAGTGGGGGGAAAGTCGTTGAACGTCTCGGCGATCTTGCGCCGGTACGGCCGCTGTGGCTTGAAGATTGTCACGTCGGGTAGCTTCACCTTTGCCTAGTAGTCCTCGGACAGCGAGCCACAGAGCTTGAAGATCTTGTGCAGCTGCTCGATCTCGGTCTGGCTAGGAATGATGGGCTTGCCCACGAGCAGCTCGGCGAGGATGCAGCCGATGCTCCTCAGGTCCACGACGACATGGTATTCGGTGGGGCCGAGCAGAAGCTCCGGCGAGCGGTACCATAGCGTGACGATGCGGCTGGTCATGGGCTGTGTCATGTCGGGGTCGAAGAAGGTGTCAACTGGCGAACCCGAAGTCAGCGATCCGGAGCACGCCGTTGTTGCCGATGAGGAGGTTGGAGCCCTTGATGTCCTGGTGCAAGACTCTGCGCGCGTGGCAGTGGCGCAGGCCCTCAAGGATCTGGCTCATGAAGCACTTGACTTGTGGCTCCGTGAAGCGCTGCCTGGATAGCGCGGTGAGGCCGACGAGGTCGTGCTCCTGTTGGAAAAACACAGTGCCTCTGAAACATAGATTAGACGATAAACATCTTACTTAGATGGGGAAACTATTGATGTACCTCGCCTTAGGTCATCATTCGGTCCATGGTGCCATAGCGGCTTGGACACCGGTGTCGTGGCTGCTCGGCGCAGTGGAGTCCAGCGTAGTGGTGGCGAGGTCCAGTGGCGATGTAGAGGCGACGGTGAGGTTGGTGGCGGGGAAGTTAGTGGGTCTTCCTGTTGCTGGTAGCACCCTCTTTAGACCAGGTTGGGTTTTCTGTTGGTGGGTCACGGTGGCTCCGGTCAACCTCGTAGTTAGAGCCCTAGTCCCCACCTCTCTTTATAGTGCTGTGCGACAGGGGCCCACCAACCATATTAGGGTTAGGCGCCCCCAATCAGGGCGCAGATCCAAGGGCCCAATAGGCCATTGGACTTATTGGTGGAGATCAACTAACATTCTCCCCCTTGATCTTACTACCATATTTCAATTTCATATCATTTACTTTTGTTCATTCCATTACAGATTAGCGCATAGAGCATGTTTTATCGTCACGGTCAATTGCCGATAGATTTAACAGCTACAACACACCACTCTGTTCTGAAATAGATACTTAACTTTGGGCCTTCTTTTGTCCAGGAATTATAGGCTTTCCCTCAAACCCATGTCGGCTACATGTTCTCTGAACACGTTGGGTGGTAAACCTTTTGTAAGCGGATCCATGAGCATCTTTTCGGTACTTATATGCTCAAGACTTATGACATGATCCCGAACTTTATCTTTCACAACATAATACTTTATATCAATGTGTTTGGCAGCACCACTTGACTTATTGTTGTGAGCATACTGTACTGCCGGATTATCGCAGTATAACTTAAGTGGTCTATAGATGTCGTCAACCACCTTCAAACTGGTTATGAACTTCTTTAGCCAATTCACCTACCCCGTTGCCTCATAACACGCTACAAACTCGGCATACATTGTGGACGATGTAGTGATGGTTTGCTTTGAGCTTTTCCATGAAATAGCTCCCCTGCGAGAGTGAATACATATGCAGACGTGGATTTTCTATCATCTCCCGCATAATCAGAATCTGAATATCCCACTATATGGAGTGAATCAGATCTTCTATACATCATCATGAGGCTTTTCGTTCCTTGCAAATAACACAAGACTTTCTTTACTAATTTCCAGTGTTCTATTCTAGGATTGCTCTGGAATCTAACAAGTAACCCGGTAACAAATACCAAGTCAAGGCACGTACATACTTGAGCATATTGCAAGCTTTCGACAGTTGAAGCATATGGAACCGCTTTCATTTGATCGATCTTATATTGGTTCCTGGGGCATTGAAAATTCCCATATCTGTCGCCCTTGACTATAGGAGCAGGTGAGGGACTACATTTGTGCATACTGAATTTCTTTAAGATCTTTTCTATGTATGCCTTTTGTGACAGTCCTAATACCCCTTTACTTCTATCTCGGTGAATCTCGATCCCTAGAACGAATGAAGCTTCACCAAGATCTTTCATATCAAATTTTGAGGACAAAAACTTCTTTATTTCTAGTAGTAGACTAACATCACTACTAGCAAGTAAGATATCATCCACATACAGGACAAGGAAGATAAACTTCCCATTCTTAAACTTTGCATAGACACAATTGTCCTCTACATTCTCTTTAAACCCAAAATTCCTTATTGTCTGATCAAACTTCAAGTACCACTGTCTTGAAGCTTGTTTTAATCCATAAATGGATTTCTTTAGGCGGCATCCTATTCGTTCTTTTTCTTCCATGACAAAACCTTTCGGTTGTGCCATGTAAACATTTCCCTCCAAGTCCCTGTTGAGAAATACCGTCTTTACATCCATCTGATGTAATTCTAAATCGTAATGTGCCACTAATGCCATTATGATTCTAAAGGAATCCTTACATGAGACTGGAGAAAAGGTCTCATTGTAATCGATCCCTTCTCTTTGCGTAAAGCCTTTTGCCATAAGTCACGCTTTATATCTCTCTATATTTCCTCGAGAGTCAAGTTTTGTTTTGTAGACCCATTTATAGCCTACTGTTTTGGTTCCTTTAGGAATTATTTTCAAGTCCCAAGCTTTATTGGCATTCATAGATTTCATTTCATCTTTCATGGCCTCAAGCCACTTTGATGAATGATCACTTCTCATGGCTTCTTCAAATGAGGTGGGATCATCCTCCATTTGAAATTTCTCAGTGTTGTATAGCAGGCATAGCTGATTTTCTAACTCTTTGAGACCTTCTAGGGCCTCCACATTAGGCACATCTTCTGTTTGAGGTTGTTGTTGCTCCCCCTCATGTGTGGCAATAGGTTCTACAAGATTCTGAAGAAAAGGTTCCTCATCGTCATTCATTGTTGCCACAGGTGGAATAACAACAGGTGCTGGCACCATAGTATCTTACACTATCGGTGCAGCGATAGCAGGTAGTGAGAAAAATGGCTCATGAATCATCGGAGTGGGCACATACACCCACTTCTTTTCAAGGTCAATTTCTCGAGCTACCATGCTCCCCTTCATCATTTCATCCTCTAGGAAGACATCGTGTCTTGTTTCCACAAACTTTATATGTCTGTCTGGACAGTAGAAACGAAAACCTTTTGACTTTTCTGGGTAGCCAATGAAATGGCAACTTACTGTTTTGGGATCTAGCTTCTCAATATTTGGGTTAAATACTTTAGCCTTGGTAGGACTCCCCCACACATGTAAGTGGTTTAGTGAGGGTACTTTTCCTATCCATAACTCATACGGTGTTTTGGGCACCGACTTACTTGGTACTCTATTGAGAATATGAATGGCGATTTTTAACGCCTCCATCCACAGGCTCAACGGTAAGGTGGAGTAACTTATCATACCGCGCACCATATCCATTAGGGTACGATTACGTCTTTCAGCTACTCTATTCTTCTGAGGTTCGCCCGGTGTAGAATACTGGGCTACTATGCCATTCTCCTATAAGAACCTTGCAAAAGGTCCAGGAATTTGGCCATATGGGGTATGCCGACCGTAGTACTCCCCCCATGGTCAGACCTGACTATCTTAATCTTTAAATTGTGTTAGTTTTCAACTTCTGCCTTAAATATCTTAAATTTATCCAATGCTTCTGTTCTTTCTTTGATTGGATAAATGTAGCCATAACAGGAGTAATCATCTATGAATGTTATGAATGAATCATAACCATCCACACTCTTTATAGGAAACAGACCATAGATGTCTGTGTGAATAATCTGTAAAATTCCTGCGCTTCGTTTGGCATCTTTCTTAATTTTCTTTACATACTTTCCTTTTATGCATTCTCTGCATTGTTCTGAATCTGAGAACTCTAATGGAGGAAGAATATCATTCTTAACTAGTCTTTCTATTCTTCCCCTCGAAATATGGCCTAAACGATAGTGCCATAATTTCGACGACGCATCGTGAGCTCTCTTTTGTTTTCTGTTTACATCCGCAGACGAGGATACATTCTCAATGTCGCACGCAACGTTTCCATCATCGCATACAACATTCACATCATCACGTAGTGATAACAAATAGTATGTGCTCTCTTATGCCAACATTTTCAGAGTACCTCTTTGTCACCGGCTGCTTTATCAGCTGGGTAGCATATGTCTTTAAAGAGCTAGTGAACTGACTCTTTATTCTATCGAGGTACTCGGTGACCATGTCACACTCTGAGATTGAGCCCACAATTACAGGCTCAATCATGTTCTTTATCACAGCCAAATATCTTTTGTTGGTAGTGACCCACTTCCTATGCTCAAGGTCATAGGACATCTTTTTGGGATTCAAAATCCATCTTTCTAGTTGCCCAAGCGGCATCAGCCTCGTTTGTCTCCCTCACCAGTGCCACAGGCTCAGTGGGACACGGTGAGGTGACTACCCAGTACACCTCAGCCAAGATGAAGACCAGGTCAATCTTTTTCTTCCACTCCGTGTAGTTGTTGCCTTTGAGAGTGGGGATCTCTTTGATACAACCCATCAAGTTGTATCCGCCTAGCAACACAATTCATATAGAGTGAGAACATAAATAATAACACCAATTGCATGCCTTGATTCCAACGTTGGTCAAAATTAAAATATACAACTGTTTATACATTAAATCTACATCACCGTTGAGCAGAAATAGAAATAATGCATAAAATCATTAAAATTACGATATTGTTATTAACAACATTGGTCAGAAAATAACAACATCATAATCATGTCAAAATCTCTTTTTCTCCAATTAAATATCACATTGGTTCAAAATAACTGGAGAATAAACTATTTCTTTAGCAGCGAAAACATGAAAAATTCATTATCTATTTTTCAGAAGCATTAAACTTTTCTCAACTATTCTCTAAAAAATTATCCCGTTGGTTCAAATTTTAATAGAGATTCAAAACTTGACAAAAATTCATCGAAATTTGTTTTTGAAATTGTCAAAACTGCTTCTGAAAAACTTTAGCAACTGTTCATTTGGCCCGGCCTCTGGAAAACAGTACGCGGCCCAGCTCTACAGTGCAGCGGTGCTCGGCCCAGTCCAGGGAAATCGGCCCGGCCTGCGTTCCTCGCCCGCCTACGGTGCCTTCCCAGGCCGTAACCTAGGTCTGGGCCGACAAAGTAGCCTTCCGCGTGCTCCCGCTTGGGCCAAAAACCAGCCCGGTGGATCCGCGCCGTTGATCTAGATCCGATGGCTGTGCGTGGTTCTTGGGCGAACAAAACCCACTCAACGCCGGTTCCTCCTGTAACCCTAGTTCATTTCTTCTCTCGCCCTCTCTCTCTTTCACGCAGCAGCTCTTAGCTCAGCGCAACGAGCAGCAGCGGCGACCGAGCGAGCATGGAGCCGTTGTCGGCCCCCTCACCGGTGCGTGTTCCCCACACGGGTGTGCACGCCGCCATCGAGCGGACTAGCGGCGGCGCCCTTGGCCAGAGCTCGCGCAAGCCTGAGGAGCAGCGGCGGCTTGGCTTCTCCCCGCTCGCCGATGAGGCGGCGGCGGAGCTCCTTCCCTGGCACCGGTGGGAGACAACCCATGCGACGACGGTGGTGACGCGCGACAGAAGAGTCCGGTAGGTCCTCCTCTCCTTCGTTCGATCTGTTTCTTGGGTGAGGGTTTTCTAGGGTTTGGATTTGATCCGATTTGAATCATCTCCTTCTTCAATATGTTCAATTTCTTCCCCTTCTTTTCTCTGTTCTTCTCGGATTTCATCCAATTGGGGATTAGGGTTAGGGTTTGACTCACTGGAGTCACTATTCATCTTCCCCAGCGAGTTCTTCGTGGGTTTGAGCTCGGATTCGGGTTCTTCTTGAAGCTGAGTCGTTCTTCTTCTTACTCCTTTCCTTCACCCTGTTAGGGTTAGGGTTCGGTGACCCTCTTTTAGATCCGAAAACCGAATCTCTCACCTCGGCTCTGTTCTTTTCTTGCCACGCGCCGGCGAAGACGGCGGTGCGGCACCTTTCCCCGCGCGGTGGCGGTGGTGACCGGCAGTTGAGTGACGCCCGCCACCCCTCGGTCTCTTTTCATTTTCTTTTACTCGGTTAGGGTTAGGGTTTCAATCCGAACCAAATCTAACCCTCTGTTACTCTTTGATTTCTTTTCAATTCTCTACCCCATACTAGATCTACACACTGTTAACCTGGCTCCGGTACCATTGTTGAAAAACACAGTGCCTCTGAAATGTAGATCAGGGGGTAAACATCTTACTTAGATGGGGAAACTATTGATGTACCTCGCCCTAGGTCATCATTCGGTCCATGGCGCCGCAATGGCTTGGACGCCGGTGTCATGGCAGCTCGACGCGGTGGAGTCCAGCGTAGTGGTGGCGAGGTCCAGTGGCAATGCAGAGGCGATGGTGAGGTTGGTGGCGGCGAAGTCAGTAGGTCTTCGCGTCGCTGGCAGCACCCTCTTTAGATCGGGTTAGGTTTTCTATTGGTGGGTCACGGCGGCTCCGATCAACCTCGTAGTTAGAGACCTGGTCCCCACCTCTCTTTATAGTGCTGTGCGATAGGGGCCCACCAACCATATTAGGGTTGGGCGCCCCCGATCAGGGTGTAGATCCAAGGGCCCAAGGTGGAGATCAACAAACAACTCCATGTACTCGAAGACGAGGTAGAGGCTGTGCGAGAGGCGCGAGGTGACGATGCCTTCCAGCTTGATCACGTTGGGGTGGTCCAGCCGCCAGAGGATGGGGATCTCCCGCAGTCCCGGGCCATGAACCTTACGATCTCTGGGTCCATGTCGACGAAGCGCACCCGCTTCAGCGCCACAATCTTGCCGCTCTATAGGTCCCGCGCCTTGTACACGTTGGTGTATGTGCCCTGCCCGATCTTGTCCGGCCGCTCGAACGTGTCGACACGCCAGGGCAGCCACCCTCGACGATCTCTTCGGCGACGGACGTCAGCCAGGAGGGCCATCCGGCGATGACGTGCTCACTGGAGAACCCCTGCGGTACGCTGGAGATCACCTGCTACGCCTGCGCGCCGCCGCCGCCTTCCGCGGCCACGCTGTTGTTGTTCCCGCCGATGTCCACGGCGCCTCCCTTGAGCAGAGGCCGCCCATCGCCGACAGACGGCGGCCGTCGTGAGCGTTCCCACCAAAACGATGCCGGCGACGCACGGAGGAATGAACACGCTAGGTTGGACGGTGGGGTTTGACGTCGGCTCACGAGTCATGACGCGTTGGAAACAAGGATGTGGTGGCGCATGCGGTCAGCCCGGCGAGATGATGAGGGATTGAGAGGTAGAACTGCGACTGGTGATGGATGAGGGACCGAGGGCATCGAGGGCGCGGGTCAAGGTGCGATCGCGTAACTGGCGGCGCACAGTGATCGTGGGGTTAATTTTTGCCGTGGAACTGCTCCTCCGTTTGTTAGGGTGATTGATTTTTTTTCCTGTGGAACTGCTCATCCGGTTGTTACGTGATTGATGATTTGACTTGCCTTGCTGTCCATGGGTTTCCTTGCATGTTGCGCGGGGGAGCCGGAGGGGAAGAGAGCGCGAGGGACGCACGGTTGAAATAAAGCGAGCGTGGTTTGTCGCAAGGGACGGGTGGAGGAGCGAGTGATGCGGGATCGCAGCAGGCAGAACCATGGACCCACGTTGGAATGTTGTACCAAAATGGTATTCACTCTTTACTCTTTTTAGTTGTGAGAGATTAGTATATATTCTAGATCCAGCGCGTATCCTAGTAGGTGTGTGGTGTATGTGTCGTATACTCGTATGTTACTGCAACTTGTATAACTAGATCACCAGTGGAATTAAAAAGCTCCCACAAACACTAGGCCCGACAGGTCCATCCATCTGACTTCTAAGGGGGTGTTTGGTTGCTCCTCCTTAATTTTAGTCGCTGTCTCATCGAATGTTTGGACACATGCATAGAGTATTAAATATAGATCAATTACGAAACTAATTGCATAGTTTACGACTAATTTACGGGACGAATCTTTTAAGCCTAATTAGTCCATGATTTGATAATATTTTGCTACAGTAAACATGTGCTAATGACAGATTAATTAGGCTTAAAAAATTCGTCTCGTAGAGTACTGGCGGATTATATAATTTATTTTTTTATTAGTATCCGAATAACACCCTCCCGACATACCTCCTAAATTTTAGTCACTTTTGATCTAAACACCCCCTAATTCGGTCTAGCCCACTTAAAAGCCCTTAACCGCGCGCCAACGAAACAAAACGACGTAGCGAGAGAGCCCATCATCTCCCCCAAAACCCTAGAGCGTCAGTTTCCGAGCTCCCAGTGCATTCGGCCGGTACGTGCGGCTTCCCACAACCCCCGCCCGCCCACCATGGCCGTCGACGACATGGCTGAGCTCGACAGGTGCATATGTGTCTATGAATGTGGCTCAAATCTATAAACGACCAATGTTTCGAGTCATATTTTTGCAATTGTCTACCCACATACCCCGCGCTCCACTGCCGGCGACGACGACCTCTCCTTTCTGGGCGGAGAGGGCGACCTTGCCGCGACAATCCTCGCGCGCCTCGGTGGCTCGCCGCGGGAGGACTTCCAGCACCTCTGCGCCACCGCCGCCGCCGTGGCGCAGGCCGTTAGCGACCAGGGAGTACCCGCCACCCCCGTAGCCTACTTCGCCGCGTCCGCCGCGGCGCTCGCCCCGCTCGCTCGCGCGGGGGCCGCCGGCGCCGACCCCCACGTCGCCGGAGCGCTCCTCGCCTTCCTCTCCGCGGCGCTGCCTGCCCTCCCGGCTGCCGTGGTGCGCGCCCGTGGCCGTGAGGTCGCCGACGATGTGATGCGCGTGCTCGATTTCCCTTCCACGCCCGATTCAGGCGTCAGGGCGGGGCTTAGGTGCCTCGCGCATTTGATATCTGCGGGGGACAGGGCGAACTGGGAGGCGTTATACACTGTGATTCTTCGCCTCAGTACCGATCACCGGCCAAAGGTATGAACAAAGCTGATACTCTCCAACTGCTGCTTTCATTCAAATTTCGTTCCCGTTCAAACTAACTAATGATACTCCTCACTGAGTTTGCCAATGTATGGAACTTGATTGTATTACCGTTTCTCATTTAGCCAGATTAGAGGCTCAAATCAGCCAGCCAATTACTACTTCTGTAAAGTATCATTCAGTATCAGTGAGAAGTTTGAAATCATACGTCATGCCTTCTGTAAAAGTTGAGTCGTCATGCCCAAAATGTGTAGTCCATTAACATTAAGCCAGTAATTCATGGTTTACTTTGGTGGGTTGTAGGTGCGGAAACAATCTCATTCATGCTTGCGGGATGTTCTCCTGAGTTTTCAAAGGCAACCAATTTTGGTTCCAGCAAGTGAAGCAATAACAAGATCTTTTGAGCGGTTTCTGCTGCTTTCTGGAGGATCTAGCTCTGTAAATACAGGTGCAGCAGAGGAAGGCCCCAAGGGGGCTAAGGAGGTCCTGTATATTTTGAATGCTTTGATATGCTGCCTTCCGCTTATGGCGTCGAAGCCTTCCAATACCATCTTGAAATATTTTAAACCACTGTTAGATTTGCATCAACCAATTTTGACAAGGAGTCTGTTGGACATTCTGCATGCTGTTGCTGAGAGTCCAACACTACAGCTAAAATCAGATGTGTTATTGGACCTTCTGTGCTCGTTGGGGCTGTCAGTGTCTTCAGAAAGGAAATCAGGAGATGAAATGGCTTCGATTGCACGACTTTTACATGTTGGTACTAAAAAAATTTACAAGCAAAACAGGGACATTTGTGTTGTAAAGCTTCCATTGATATTTACTTCACTTGGAGGTTGGTTCTTCTCATAAACTTAGCATTTCTTAATTGGTCGATGATGCTTACATAGATTGCCATGTTCATTACCTAACTTTTTTTTGTTAATTGCTTGTCAGATATATTATCAAGTGAATTCGAAGAGGCGAGATTTTCTTCTGTGGAGGCTTTTAAAGGTTTAATAGATCACTGCATCGATGAAACCTTGGTGTCACAGGGAATTGCTTAGATGAAGGCCAGACATCAAGGTTTGAAATCAGATCCCACAATCATAGAGAAGATATGTGCTATCCTAGAAGGCTTGCTAGATTTCCGCTACAGTGACGTCTGGGACAGATCATTTCATGTAATTTCAGTGGCATTTGACAAGTTAGGTATGTGTTTCAGTACCTTAGCATATCCTACCACATCCATACTATTTTGTTAATGCATTTCATTCTGCATCATGCCATTGATTCTGTTATGATGGTGACGATAGATCATCGTTTTCGTTATCTATAGCTTAGCTGTGTTGGAGATTTGGAGTTCCTAGTCTTATCTGGTCACAACTCACAAAGGCACCATGTTTTTATTCTTGGGCTCCGATATTTGTAAAATTAAACTAACTTGCTATGTCCATTTTTTTGGATGAAAATTTGATTATTTTATTTCTTTTACTTCTGCTAGTAAGATACTTGTTATTAATAGGGGCCATGAGTTCCTGAGCTGAGATCTATGACATTTATATAAAAACAGGTGAGTTTTCAGCTGACCTATTGCCGGAAGCAGTCAGGAACTTGGCAGACATGCAAAACTAGTCAGATGACGACTTTTCCTTCCGGAAGCAGGTACCTTTTTCCCGTAACTACACAGACAGTTAAATCCTCCTTGCTTAGTTACCTTACCAACTATAAGAATATATACTTCCTCCAGTAACAAATAAGTGTAGTCAACCAAACTTTGAGTAGATTACTTTTAATGTATTTACTTGGACTTTTTGAAAATGACACAAGTAGGTTTGTCTTGGAAAATAGTTTGACAAAGTATAATTTTCCTGTGTTCTATAAATATGTTACAAAATTTATAACTCAAAATCGTGTTTTTGGAAATCACCCCATGGCCCCATTGTCCAAATTTTGACTTATTGTGACTGGAGGGAGTATGTTTGCTGGTAAAGGATATGGGGTTTGTCAAAATGTTGCTTAGGGGAATCAATGAATCATGGCTGTTGTGCACTAGTGCTATCTTGTTCTGGTTAAAATATATTCCTAAGGAATGGATGGCAGATAATGCTGTGCAGTGTGCACTTTCATGGCCTTCATACTGCAATAATTTATTTGGTCTTTGATTAGTGAATCTCTTCCTTCCATTCTGCAGTTTGATGCATGTCTTGGTTCAGCGATTGCAGCAATGGGGCCAAAGAATGTTCTTGAAATTCTCCAGATTCAGTCAATATGTGATGAAAATGCATGGATTCTCCCTATTATGGAGAAGCACATTGTTGGTGCCAGTTTACAATTTTTCTTAAGAGATATTCTGGGTATGGTTAGAGCCATTGAGAAAAGCATTCCTAAGGTATTTGGTATTCATTGAAAATTCTCTGCTTTACAAGAATGACTTGATTTTGGACTGAGCTCTTACTGTGTGCACTCTCACTATGTTTTGAATATATCAACTGAGCAGCTTTTGAAGAATGACAAACTTTTCTCTGCCAAGAGAGCTGGAGGTTATGTGTATTCTCTGGTCTTTGTTACCATCTTGTTGCAACTACTCATGTGACACGTCAAGCAATTTTAGAGCTTTACAAGATGTGTTATGTGACACTCTCCAGAACCAACCTGACTTGCGTGGCATTGTTTGCTCCAGTATTCAGGTGTTTCTCACGGTCTCATTTCTGTTACACAAATTGTTTGCCCTTCTGAATGTCTTCTATATTTATCTTGTGTTCTTTGTAGGTTTTAATCAAACAAAACAAAGAAGCTCTGTCAGTTTCTAGGGAAGAGGACATTCTCGCTGAGGATGAAATAAGCAAATCTGAAAGAAGAGCAAAGGGACATTATACTCAAAATCTGGCAGAGGAAAACTTGAAAGCGGTACGTGCTTTCTCTTCGAAGCTTCTGGAAGTACTTTGTTCTATATTCTTGATGTGTTCGAATGATGCTATTGGATTATTGCAGGTACATTATCTAATTTCTTCTTTGAAAATAATTTCTGATCATATTGCTGTGGTAGTCATCGAGACTCGAGAGAAACATTTTCCTAGCTAAAGACACTTTAAGCTTCTATTTTTTTGTGGGAACTATTTGTTTTGGCTTCTTGAGTTGGTATGTTAAAGAGCATATTTTCTTTGGTAGGGATGTTGATTATAGCCCCTCACAATTTCATCACATCCTCATACCTCAACGACGTCACTTGAAATTCGACAGTGAAACTCTAATTTCTGTGCGCTGATTGTTGAAACTATTCCTTTGGGAACCAAATTGTTATCAATTTTTTTTCTCATTATTCAAAATCTTGTTTTAATGTGTTGTGTGTCTACTGCAATGACAGTCTGGCAATTCAGTGTGTTGTGTAGATTTGGCGGCTGCTCCCCATCCCCGTGCCGTACGGTGGGTCTGAGCGTAGCATGAACAGCCCAGCAGGCCGCGGCCACTTCAGACTTTAGAGGTACCAATGGAGCCTCCACGTTAATCCTCACCGGAAACGTTAGAAAAAAAAGATAAATATTAGAAATTCCCACATTAATCAGAAACATCTAATCATTAGTCGAAAGACTCCAACTATCCTTAAACGTTAGATCTATTTTGGTTTTTAAAAAATTATCCACCTTCACAGTTATATATAGAAAAAGGCTAATATCTCATTGTATGGTTAAAAAACTTGAAAAATCCTTCAAGAAAAAATGTACTGGAAAAAATCTCCACAACTTCAACGTACAGAAAAATATTCATCAAGAAACTAAAAAATCATACGGGAACAAATCTCCTGTACTCACGTTCAAATTTGATTAAAAAACTAATATCTTATTGGTCAGATATATATACAGAAAAATATTCTTCAAGAAATTAAAAAACGTAGCCTCCACGTTAATCCTCACCAAAAGCGCTAGAAAAAAGATAAATGCTAGAAATTCCCACATTAATCAGAAACTTTTAACCATTAGTCGGAAGACTCCAACTATCCAACCGTTAGATCTATTTTGGTTTTTAAAAAATTATCCACCTTCACAGTTATATATAGAAAAAAGTCTAATATCTCATTGTACAGTTAAAAAACAACTTTGACGTACCAGAAAAATCCTTCAAGAAAAAATGTACTGGAAAAAATCTCTACAACTTCAACGTACAGAAAAATATTCATCAAGAAACTAAAATAACATACGGGAACGGGAACAAATCTCCTGTACTCACGTTCAAAGTTGATTAAAAAATTAATATCTTATTAGTCAGATATATGTACAGAAAAAATTAATATCTTATTAGTCAGATATATGTACATATCTTGAAGGGAAAACATGCTCATGCGGTCAATGGCAGATCTCTGGGAAACCTTGCACCCATGCTATAGCCTTTATAGGTTCACTAAGGAAAGTGAAACTTGATGACTATGTACATGATTACTACTCAGTTGAGCGTTTCAAGGCTACTTACCAGTTTTTGGTGAACCCGATGGTTGACAAGTCACAGTGGCCTGCAGGTGATCCTGGGTTTGAGATGTGGCCTCCAAAACTAGAAAGGGCCGCTGGTAGGCCAAGAGTGAAAAGGATTAAGAGTAGGGGTGAACCAGAGAAAAGGGGCCCTTATTAATGCAAAAGATGCTTTCGGTTTGGGCATATTGCGAAGGGCTGCAGGGAGCCTCCTATTGAACTTGGTGATGAATTACCACATTTAGTTCTTACCAAGTCTGACTCTAGGTAAATTTAAGCTCTTGTCTCTTTGGTCTCACTTTTTCAAATTAACCAATGGCTTCATTACCTTGCTGTTGACTAGGAAGAGGAAAGGGAAGGCTGCTACTTTAGACTCCAATAATAATCCTAAAAAATCAAAGAAGGAAGCAGCAACCAACTCAACTGAACTTAGTGATGAATTACCACCATCAGCTCCTACCAAGTCCAAGTCTAGGTACATTTAAGCTCTCTCACTTTAGTTTCAATACCATGTTCATGAGTGTTTTCATCATTTTTTACTACTTATGCCTTCACTACCTTCCTGTTGTGTAGTAAGAGGAAAGCAAAGGATACTACAAAGTCCGCCAATGCTCCTAAAAAATCCAAGAAGGAATTTGCAACAACCTCTACTTCCTTAGCCACGCTATCACCTGTAAGTCCAGGGCCAACAACAAGACAAATGGCGGCTGCTATTTCCACACCAGCCAGTCCAGGGCCTACAACCAGGAGCAAATCACAAGACATATCTCCAGGAGGCATTGCTAGAAGGCTCATCATAAATTAGGCTTGGATTTGTCATGCAAAAAGCTATCTATGGCATTGTTATCTGCTAGTTAGATGAAAATTAGAACTTGTGCTATGTCCTGAACTTGTCTTGTGTTGTGTGTACTAAAACTTGTCAACTGTTATGTGTACTGGAAGATGGTTGTGGTGTGCTGGAATTACTGTTTGTTTGTGTTCAAATTCCCTATCAAGACTGTTGCTGAAAGGGATGATGTAATGGCTTATTATCTTGGATGGTTAATGTGCTGAAATTACCGTTTTTTCCTGCCTAGAATCACTGTTATGTGCTGAAATTACTATGTTTTGCATGTGTTGCTGAAATGGCTATTTCACTTGGACGGTTGATGTGTTGAAATAGCTGTGGTTTATGTGCTCAAACAGTGTGCTAGAATTAGTTAGAGCCATAACTTATGTGGTGATATAGGTGAAATAGTCGTTCTCAGCTTACTGAAATGAGATATAACGGTTCAGGGGTACTTTTGTCCCATTTGACGTTATTAGAGCCAAAAGGTAACAGAGTGTTAGAATCAGTTAGGGTTTGGAACTTCCAATGGTATTTTACGTTGGAGACATCTTTCAGTGGTATTTTACGATTCCGTAGATCTTTCAGTGCTATAGAACTAATTTTCCCTAATAAAATATCAGGCCAACAATGCCCACCACATCCACGTTAGATAATCTATTAATTAAAAATCAAAAACCAAAAATTAAATGGAAGGTTAATCTATTAATAAAGAGCTTTGTTACGGTGCTCAGGAGGAATGGGTGGTTCCTCTCGTTAAAAACATTTGCAGCAAGTG